ATACAGTCGAACTCGTTTATAACGAGCTCGGATTTAACGAGAACTCGGATTTACCGAGGGAAACGAGAATATTTGGTTGGATCAATGTTAAGTCTATGGAACAAAAGTCGCTTTTAACGAGCAAGACCCGGTTTTAGCGAGCAATATTTTTCTGTCTTGCATTCTTTTTTCTCAACTTTCTAGTCTTTCTGTCTCATCTTTTTTTTAAATAATAAGAAATGCGCTCGAAATCAAAAAAATTTTCTTTAAGAAACACGAACTGAAACTTAAAACCCTTATGGCTCTAATCTAAAGCATGGGAAAAGTCCCGTGAGAGTAGGCGGTGACACATCGGTCATGACGTCAGGTCGTGAAGTAAAAGGGGTGGAGTGAAAGGACTTTTCATTCGTCATTATTTTACCTGATTTCATTGAATACACACAATTTTTATCCTCCCACTATGTCGAAACGCAAAGCTTTATCGGTTGACGAAAAAGTAAAAATTTTACGGGAGTTGGACGACGGTGTTAAAAATGCCGAAATCTGCAAAAGGTATGGATTGTCGTCATCTACTGTTTCCACACTGCTAAAAAACAAAGGCAAGTTAATGGATGCATATGTCCAAAGTAAAACAGACTGTAAACGACTAAAGAAGTGTTCGAAAGAGGATTTGGACGAAGCGTTATTGAAATGGATGAAGGTGCAACGTAGTGCTGATTTACCTGTGAGTGGACCTATTCTAAAAGTGCAAGCAGAAAAATTTGCTGAACAATTTGGATATTCTGAGTTCGTGTGTTCGAATGGATGGATTGATCGTTTTAAAGTTAGACATGGCATAACTTTTGGAAAAATATGTGGTGAAGCGAAGTCCGCAAACATGGCGGACATTGCAAAATGGTTGAGTGAAAAGTGGCCAGGCATCAGAGAAGGATACGCAGCAGATGACATCTATAACGCTGATGAAACAGGGATATTCTACAATGTAACCCCACAGTATATCTTAAAATTTAAGGGTGAAAAATGCGTTGGAGGCAAGCTCTCTAAAAATAGGTTAACAGCTTTAGTGTGTTCGAACATGTCTGGCACTAACAAGAAAAAACTCTTTATTATCGGCAAATCAAAGAACCCTAGATGTTTCAAAAATGTGAAAAAGCTACCAGTAGACTATGATCATAGCCGAAAAGCCTGGATGACTTCGGACATTTTCACAAAATTCATTTCAAAATGGGAGAGACAACTGCGGAGAGAAAATCGTAAAATTATCCTTTTGATAGACAATTGTTCAGCTCATCCCGAAATCACTGGACTTACCAATATCAGAATAGAATTTTTGCCACCAAATTCTACATCTGTTATCCAGCCTATGGACCAAGGAATCATAAGAAGTTTCAAGTGTCACTTCCGTAAGCAACTGATTTTGATGATTCTGGACCGTAGGGATAGAAGTGGAACAACATCAAATACCAATGTCAACGTACTGGAAGCGATACGTTTGATGAACGATGCATGGGAAAATGTCACATCAACATGCATCATCAAGTGTTTCCATAAGGCTGGATTGGACAGTTGTCAAGACGATCAATCCACTGAAGAAGAAGAGGTTGAAAATTTCATACAAACTGCAAATTTGGAAATGACTGAAGAGGAATTTCAAAACTATGTATCCATTGACGACGAACTGATGACCTCAGATGTACCGACCACCGAAGATATTGTAGCTGACGTACTAGCGAATTCAGCGGAAAAACATGACGACAGCGATGAGGACACTGATGAATATGAAGAAAGTGAACCACCCCCAACTTGTTCTACTATGTTGGAGTTCGCTGAAAAAATGCAGACCTTTTTTGAAGCGAGGGATGTCAGTGATGATGTTTTCCGGGCGATGAGTCTTCTCCGAAGAACAATAGCACAGGAAAGAGACAAGGAACGAGTTCAACGTAAGCTAACAAACTATTTTAAATATGTAGATTAATGAAAAAAATAAATGTTTTGGTAAGAATCTTTTCTTTATTTTTCTTTCCGTTTATTGTTTCTTTCGTTTAAGACTAGCGTAACTAGAAATTTTTCGTAGTTGTCATTAAATTAAGAAAAGTATTTAATTAAATTAATTAATGTAATTAAAGTAAGTAAGTTTTATTTAAGTTTTAAGTAAGCTCAATCATTTGACCTTCCAAGCCCCCCCCCCTCTTCTGGTTGCACGCCTGTCTTAAGGACCCGTTTATTACGAGCACTCGGATTTAACGAGTACATGTTNCCATCTACTGATTTGACGATTACGTCAAAAAAATTGTTCAAAAAGTTAAAAAAGTAGAGAAAACATGGAAAAAAATTAAAAAGGGGGGGAGAAGAAAAATAATAATTAATAAATAAAAAAAAAAAAACTGGAAAGAAAGGATAAATTTTTTTAAAAAATCCGGAAAATAAAAGATATAATCTTTTCATCAGCTCACACAATTATATCCGCAAAAATGAATGCTTTCTGATATTGTATCAATATAGCCAAATCAAAATATATTAATACAATAGTGAGAGCACTCAAAAGTTTTTTTTACAGAAATTACAACAAATAAATTAGAACACAATAAGTAAAAATATAACACGTAAAAACAGAAAATAAAATAAGATAAAAAGAAAAAAAAAGGAAAAACAGAATAAAACATAAACTATAAAGCGAGTAGCGAATTCAAATTTAACTTTTCAAGAATGATTTAAAAAAAGGTTTTCGTAACAAGATTGCCAGATTGCAAAATATGAAAACAAAAGCGCAAATTGAACATAACTAGAGGAGTTTTGTTTTAAAGTGCTGCTCTTACTGGAATGCTGAAGCACGTTTGATTTGTTAGTTACTAGGGATGGGCCCGAAATGGATATGCGCAAGGTAATATTATACTGGATAATTTAAAGAAGTTGACCTTAAATAATTTTAGAAAATAAATGTTTATTTAAGAAAAAAATAGAAAAGAGAAACATGAGTTACCTGTTTAGCACATAATATTACCCACGGATTTGCCCGAATTTGCCGGATTTGCACATGGAAAAATTATATAAATTGACAAAGAAAAAAAATTTTAGTAGATAATTTTAGCCACGAATTTGCCTGAAATAGATTTGCACATGGAAAAATTATACAAATTAGCAAAGAAATTATTTAGTAAATAATTTTGGCAACGGATTTACCCGAAATGGATTTACACATGGAAAAATTATATAAATTAACAATGAAAATTTTTAGTAAATATATCCACAAAAATATACGAATAATTCAATGATTTTATATTTTTATTGTTATCCAAAAAACAAATCTATAAACTCTTTCAATAAAATTCTATATAAAATCATTGAAATAATCGTATATTTTTGTGGATATATTTTTTTCATTGTTAATTTATATAATTTTCCCATGTGCAAATCCATTTCGGGTAAATCCGTTGCCAAAATTATTAACTAAATAATTTCTTTGCTAATTTGTATAATTTTTCCGTGAGCAAATCCATTTGGGGCAAATCCGTAGTCAAAATTATTTACTAAAAAATTCCTTTACTAAAAAAATTCCTTTGTTAATTTATATAATTTTTCCATGTGCTAATCCATTTCGGGCCAATCCGTGGCTAAAATTATTTACTAAAAATTTTTTTATCAATTTATCAATTTTTCCATTTGCAAATCCATTTTAGGCAAATTCGTGACTAAAATTATCGACTAAATATTTTTTTCTTTGTTAATTTATATAATTCTTCCATGTGCAAATCCATTTCGGGCAAATCCGTGGGTAATATTATTTACTAAAAATTTCTTTATTAATTTATACAACTTTTCCATGTGCATATCCATTTCGGGCAAATCCAAGGCTAAAATTTTCTACTAAAAACATTTTTCGTTCTTAATTTATACAATTTTTCCATGTGCAAATCCATTTCGGGCGAATCTGTGGCTAAAATTATCTACTAAAAAAATTTTTCGTTCTTAATTTTTATAATTTTTCCATGTGCAAATCCATTTTGGGCAAATCCGTGGCTAAAATTATGTGCTAAAGATGCAATTCATGTTTCTCTTTTCCATTTTTTTCTTAAATAAATATATATTTTCTAAAATTATTTATGGTCAACTTCTTTAAATTATCCAGAATAATATTACATTGCGCACATCCATTTCGGGCCCAACCCTGGTAACTAACAAATCAAACGCACTTCAGCAATGCAGTAAGAAAGGCACTTTAAAACAAAACTCCTCTAGTTACACTCAATTTGGGCTTTTGTTTTTATATTTTGCAATCTGGCAATCTTGTCACGAAATTTTTTTTTTAAATCATCCTTGAAAAATTTCCCGTTTATGTAATTGCATTTTAATTCACAACTCACTTTATAGTTTATGTTTTGTTCTGTTTTTTCTTTTTTTTTCTTTTTATCTTATTTTTTTTCTATTTTTGCGTTTTATATTTTTACTTATTGTGCTCTAATTTATTTGTTGTAATTTTTGTAAAAAAAATTTTTGAGTGCTCCTCACACTATTGTATTAATATATTTTGCGTTGGCTATATTGATACAATATCAGAAAGCACTCTTTTTTGCGGATATAATCGTGTGGGCTGATAAAAAGATTATATCTTTTATTTTCCGGATTTTTTAAAAAATGATATCTTTTTTTTTTAATTGTTTGTCATTTTTTTTATTATTACTATTTGTCCTCCTCCCCCCCCCCTTTTGTCCCCCATGTCTGTAATTTTCCTTTGTTTTATCTTTATTTTGAACTTATCTAATGAGTTCTGTTTATTTGCAGCTTATACGCAACAAATGAAAATTATTGCTTTTCTTAATTTTCTCTTTTAACAATTAATATGTATATATATAATCAGAAAATAGTTCACTCAAATTGAAAACACATAATTTTGAGAATAGCTACTTTAAATTTCAAACGCTGATAATGCAAACCTGTACAAAGTAGACTTTACTAATTTATAGATACATTTTAAACCTATTAATACATTTTTTCAAATGATATACACTTTTAGAATATGCAATAAAAATATATGATTTTTAACACAAAAATTTTGAATTTCTTCTTAAAATGAACTGAACCATCACGCACTAAAAATGTCAGCTAAACATTAACGTTAAAGTCAGGCAAAAAAAATTGGAAAAAAGTCTTGTTTTTCTGCATAAGAAAAATACAAATAAGGTGAGGTAAAAAACCTTCTAAAAAATACATTTTTTACAAAAAACTATCGATTATTGTTATCGATTTTTTTTTAACTTTTGAATGCTTTAGTGTAATATTTTTTTCTGTTTCTTAATCGGATTGTCAACGCTTGATAAAAAACAATTCATTATCAAATTTGAACTACCTGAAAAAATTTCAAACTAAAGTATTTCGTGTTAAAAAAGTAAAGCTGTCTCTAAACATCCAAATAGCACTGAGTTGAAAGTTACACGTAGAGAAGCTTTGAAAGTGTTCTCAAGCATTATACAAAAAAAAAAATTATTAAAAAAGTCTTCCCTGAGAACCAGTACACTTTGCTTTTTGTTAGGATTCATTGAATTTCTAATTTTTTTTCTTTGCACCTTTAAAAAATAATGTGCCTAAAAAATTATGCTAAAAAAAGTAATGGAAAAAAATTGATATTCTTTTTATTTCCTATTTTTTAAAATTTGAAAACTTCCAGAATAATATTGAATTGCTTTTATGAAATTGATTATATTTTTTAATTAAAAGTATCTTTTAATGATCAGATAATCTGTTCTTATCTTTTTAAAAAAAGTAATACCTGTTAGAAATATATCATAATAAGCATTAGTTATTAAATAAGTAATCTCTAGAAACTGAATCTGTAATATATTACTTGGTTAAAAACTTTATTTGCTTCAAAAATATACAAATTATAAATATAGCACTCGACATGTTTGAAGTGCTCAAAAGCAGGCACCCATTTTCAACACTTGGTGGACGTGAATGAGAAAAAGCAAAAGGTGATTTGAAAAATAAAACGTTAAGTTGACAACGAAAAATAAAAGAATTAAGGTGAGAAACAAAACTAGAAAAACCACGGTGGCCCAGAGAGGCAAAACGGGGTAAAATGCATTTCCACACTCTAGGGTCAGATGGTGAAGAACTAACATTGTTAATAAAGGAATCATCGTTCATATCAATAAAACAGGATTGCAAGACATTAACATAAGCTGATGTGGCTAGATTAGAAATAATTTCGGCAGTGTCAAAATTGAATTCATGCCCGAGATTCCAATAATGTGCAACAATTATGATTTTTCGTATTCTTAATAACTGGCATATTTATCGTGTTAAGTCTAAATATTTAAGCGCCTCTCTTTGTCCAATCGGACAAACTAGATTTTGCTTAGCTTCTTTTCATTCTCGTCCGGTAAGAGTTTAAAATGGGTGCCTGTTTTTGAGCGCGTGAACATGTTGATTGTTATTTCTAATTCACTAATTTTGAAGCGAATGAAGTTTTACTCCAGTAAGGGCTCGTTCTAATCTTACAATTTTTATGAGTTGACAAACCAGTTTTGCCTTAATTATTTTGAATTTATCAATGCTTTTCAACCAATTCCTCAAACGAATTAAAAAAAAGATTATAATTTTATTTTAGAAAGAGCTTATTTTAATTGAAAAGTTTAAGAAAAAATTTGTAAATTCAGTTTCACGTGTTTTTTTTTTCTTTGTGTGAATTTATTGTTCATAACTTTTATGATGAAAATTATGAACCATATGATCTCAAAGAACCAAAATATTTCTTACATGCTTCTCTTTTAAATAATATGAAAATGTTTATTAAAAAAAAACACCCTTGTTTGTTTGTATTTTTGAATACAATTAACTTATCAGTTCAGTGTGATTTTTTTCTAATATTTTCTTTAGCTTGAAAAATTAAGTTCATTAAATGTATTAAGCTTTTAAAAAAACAAACAAATAAATAAATAATAAA